CTTGTCTTTAACCCCATGCTACTTTACCATGCATATTCCACTCCTTTTCAAAAATACAACTTTAAAAGGTGATGCAAAATTATTCAAGTCAGAATGAGTAATTTTAATGTTGGTTCCAGCAATTTTGAGCCAATAAATAACTAAAGTATCTATCCATACATTTCTTGAATCAGATCTCATCACCCAACGTGAGGAAGTGTATGTATAATAGGAAATCTGCTGTTAACTATAGCAAAAGAGGGAAAAAAATAGAGTTTGAGTCACGTTGATTCAAACCAGGAGAGTGGTAAGCATAGGAAAAAAACTGCCTTGCCTCCACCTGCAGAGCATAATATTTTAATTCTATTTTGTAATTCTGCATAAAACCTCAGAAATCAGTTCTGTAGTAAAGAGATCCTTGCCATGAAATTGCATCTTCCAGCCCCAACTTCTTTTTCTTTAGATGCACAGTTCCCCCTACTGTTTTCACAAGACAGTTAAAACAATCCTTTTATACTATGGAAATGGTGCCAAGTGAGCGTCATGTCAAAAAAGCAGCATGGCTATTAGTGGCTCACAAAAGACCTGCAATATTCAGAGCTGGAAATAATTATTTCCTGTTTGCTATGAACTGCCAAGACCGCTGCGAATTTACTCTACTGTAAAGCACAACATGTATCTGTAGTACACTTAGCAGGAGAAAACAAAAGTAGGTCCTGTAGAAATAATGGTATGGGCAAGATGATACATCCCTATTGGAAGAGCTTATCTTGACATTTGAATGCAAAGCAATGCTTTCTCTCCCCAGCAGCTGGCACCTGTGTATTCTTCTTCTTTGGGCTTAAAAACAAATATTTAGTGAAGGTGAGCCAAGCACAGCAGTGTTTTGTTTGACAGGGCAGGTGTCCTCTCATAGGTTCCCTAAAACAGAACCCTTGACTCGGAGAGGAGTCAAGAGGAAATAAATAGGTTTTGCCTACTGCGTTCCCCAGCACTTATCCAGAAAACATACAGCTTTGCTTAAGGGCTTATACAACTTGGCTTTCAGTTCAATGCCGTATTTGCTGGCAGTCTGCAGGTTGCGATATTGGCATCCCTGACCCCATCAGTTCACAGTGTGCATGTGCGTGCCAATTAGCGTAGTGATTATTCCTGTGATTTCAGGGAAAATAAAGGGAAGCAAAGCAGACATTGAAAGTAGCAATTCTAGAAAAATAGTGTTGGTGGCTCCAGACCAAAAGTAAAGTGCACAATATTTTTCAAAATGCGAACAGCCAATTCCTATATCCCTTACTTTTGCTGCTTTTTTAAAAAAAGTTATAGGATCCTTGGTGCTCTCTGACTTCATTCTTTGCTTGCAGATGTTTCATTACCCAACTAGATAACATCAGTGCAAATGAGGTTGACGTTTGCTCTAGTCTTTTTGTTTCCTTCTTAGCTTTTTATTGTCTTTTGATTGGTATGTAAATATGATTTATTTCTATGTTTCTGTCCATCACTTACAAAAAAATATCTGTGCTGAAATTGAAAGAAGAGCAAAGAAGTAAACTTTTATTATTCGGTATCATCTGGTATGTACAAATGACCCTTGATCCTGTTTGACAATTTCAGATTCCTTGCTGTCCTGCTCATTAGGCTTTCCCAGTGGATGTTTTTCTAGATGTGAATGATTGCTCCACTCACCCCCACATATACATTTGAAGGGCATCAGATTAGCTCTGGAAAAAAAAAGGTACTCCAGATGCACACCTTATGATCTATTAGCTCATTTCCTCTAAACCTGACCGTGGAGTGATGATTTTGTTGAAATAAGCTAATCTCTATATTAACAACAATCTGAAAAGACTCCTAGGAATAGTGTTTTTATAAAATACTCCTGATTCCTTGTTCACCTGACTGGAGTTTTACAGAAAGGTATCAGTATAGTTGGAGAATATTATGCACATAAGATCTTAAGGATCTTGATTGAGAGCACGTTTGATAGGCCCCACTGCACTGCAAATCACAGTTTCAAAAACTATTTTGATTTGAAGAAAGTTGATGTATCTGTTCAGCTTCATTAATCAGGCAAATAAGGGTACCAAACATTCAGAGCAGCTGCTTTGCAAAGCTAATATTCTTTTTAGAGCATTAAAGCAGCTATGTCTTTTCTTCAGGTTTTAAAAGCTATACCTGTTTGTCAATGTGTGCACAAACATTTCTGCCAGGACCATGCTCTAAACCAGGGGTAGGCAACTTTGGCTCTTTTATGACTCGTGGACTTCAACTCCCATAATTCCTGAGGCAGCCATGCTGGCTCAGGAATTGTGGGAGTTGAAGTCCACGAGTCATAAAAGAGCCAAGGTTGCCTACCCCTGCTCTAAACCAAGGCGAGAGTTTATTTCTAGGACACTTTCCTCTGACCTTGCAAAGACGAGAGGTATCAAGTTCAGTTGCCTACTTTCCATAAGCCTACCAGACCCAAAGGAACTATTTCTGCCCCTAAACAAAGATTCCTGCCCTTTCCTCCCTGAAAAGAAGGGCTGTTTAGAAGTAACAATCAAAGCGACTAAAGTTGGGATTCTACCCTGTGCAGTTGATTAAGGCAAACAAAATTGTAAAAATTAACTGGGCAAGGCGATCCTAACGAGAGATTGTGGCTATTTCCATTGCTATTGCTGCCTCTAAAAGTGCAGGTTTCCATTACAATAAAATAGCCTCCTTACACAGTCAAATGTACCTGGTTTTCACAACAATCAGACTACTACAGGTAGTCCTGTCTTACAATCACAATTGAGCCCAAAATTTCTGTTGCTAAGCGAGACATGCGTTAAGTGTGTTTTGCTCCATTTCACAACATTTCTTGCCACAGTTCTTAAGTGAATCACTGCAGCTGTTAAATTAGTAACACGGTCGTTAAGTGAATCTGGCTTTCCCCTTGACTTTGCTTGTCAGAAGTGTATAAAATGTAATCACATGAAAAATGGTCAAAAGTCATTTTTTTTCAGTGCTGTTGTAACTTTGGCCACTAAATGAACTGTTGTAAGTCGACGACTACCTGTACAATTTCAAAATTCTTATAAAAGGTCTTAACTGCTTCTCTGTTCCTCTCTTTGCAAAATTCAAATCAATGATCATTAAACTAAATGGTTATTTTTTTCTCAGTGTTGTGCTAGTTCTTCTAACTTTTCCAGTACAGATCACCAGTGAAGTGGTTATGCAAGTATACCTATGTTAACCAAACAAGTACAACTTTGAAGCAGCCATGCAAGGCTTACAGAGGATGTGGCTGTTTTTATGGAGATGCTTCATTGAGGCTGATGCGTTGTGTGAATAATTTCTTTCAGATACTTCACCTCAGTCTTTAAATGAGCTAAACGTCACCTTTTCTGTAAGAATTCAATATATAGTGAAATTTTGGCTGTCCTTGTAATTATTCTTGACATTGCTTTGCTCATTCTTGTTGTTGTCCTGTTGGTGATATATTTTATTAATAATAAATAGTTTCTGGTTGTGAAATTGTGTCTATTTTCCATAATTTGGGAAGAACAGGTCATAAGAAATAGACATTTCTCTACCTACCCAAATTAGGAATGATGTCAGGGCAAACCAGTAACCTCTTCAATGAGGATGTTGAAGATTTAAAGTTTCCCTTCTGCAGCTGAATAATGGGCTGTGTGGTGTTAATTGTTGCAAATAATAAAACTGACAGTACCTCTTTTTTTAGACATTACTTTTCTAATTTAAATTCTTGATGGAAGATGGCACATATGCACACATTCAGCTGCTTTAAAATTATGATCTTTTGGGTGCAAAGACTTTCTGAGAAAATGAGTAAATTGTAGAATTAAAATTGCTTGCAACTTTAGTTATGCCACTTTAATGCCTATACTTTATGATATCATCTTTAATTACAAGACCACTTGCTGTTTCTTCCCTACAGGATTTCCGCTTGATTTAACTTGTGGAAAAGATACTCAAAAGACCAGATACTTGATTTCCCCAAAATTGGTTAAATTAGCATTTCCTGGATTTTGATTACTTAAAGTACCATTTTTTTTACTATTAGTATTTTAATTTGTAGAATACAGACCCCATTCAACATTCAATGTGAAAATGCATTGTGGAAAATATGTCTGGGTTCTGGGGTCCTTGCCTTATACCTAATCTACATTTTGCATTGGTTTGCCATTGGGCTATCACTGATCACTGATCTGCCCTAGCTTTAAATTTTAGAAGAATTTTTGAAAATTACTGTAATTTTTAGTGATGATGTCTTTTCCGATTATAGAGTATCTATTTTGCATCCTGAAGCTCCCAGTTCAGTTCTGAACTTGGCAATCTTGTGAAATTTTGGCCATCTTTGAGATGGATTCAGGCAAGTTCTTTTATGTGAGGTCATTGAAATCTGATGAGATTTAATTGTCATAATTTCACATTATTTAAATAAAGCATATTCTCTTTGGAGAATCCGAACTGTGATAGGAGGAATCCATTGCCTGGGAAATGCCATCTACTCCCTTGGAGCGTGAACAGACAAAAATGCTTGGAATAAGGAAACACAGTGTTACGTCCTCTTTTACAAATAGTCAGTGTGCCAAACTGAGAGCCCGTCCCCCCCATGCGAAGAGTCTTGGGAATCTGCACTGAGCTGACTCAGGTCTTGCCCAGAGGAACTGTTGTGAAGACAGTTTTGTAACATTTCTTTAACTGTAGCATTTTCCTATTCTACTGACTTGTGGCCCTCGGGATTTCCCCTCTCCTCTGCAGCCAAGGCATTATGTCCCCTTGCCACAGCTCCCAGATTGCTCTGTGGGATGGCTTTACTGCTTCCCCTGCACAGAGGCTGTTGCTTTTGTTTGGTTTCTTTTTGCCTTTGCATTGAGAGAAAACTGAGGGCGAGACTGAATGGCAGCTGGCATTTGCCCTTTGCCCTTTGCTGCTCGCCAGCTGGAGGAGGTGCTGGCTGGCTTAGTGGGAGGAGAGAGTGCTTTAGTGAAGACAGCCACAGGGCGGTGCCAAACTGGGATTGAGGGGCAGGGCTTGTGGCCATGGAGAAGAGGGAAGAAAAGGCAAGTTTTATGATTGTTGCAAGGAATGGAAAAAGAACTCACAGGTAGATTTGATGCAGCTATATACAAGGTATGCATTCTCTTGTAGTTCGGTGGTAATGGATAAATGCTTATTTCAAAGAGAAAAGAGAGGAGATTTTATTTCTGCATTATGCATCTTGGTTTTGCAGAGAGTATTCCTGTTATTTCCTTAATAAGGCATACTTCTTATTATAAAGATATTATGTTTACAATTCAGTCCCATTTTGGTTATTTCCTTGCTCAGTTATTGAACTGAAAACAATGGAACCAATGCCTTCTAAAAGCATGAATGGAACAATTTACATAGGTAGTGTGCAGTATATATTTTTGCCTTAGGTATATACTCATTCTCTTATCATTTGGCACCTTTTCCTTATGGCACCTTCAGGACCTTATCACTGGCCTTACTATAAACCTTGCTGAGTCATCTGGCTCAGACAATAGATCTTGCTATTATCAGTTATGGTGTCTTCCAACCAGCCCTCCCCCTTCCCCTCAAACCCCTGGGCCCCTCTTTTCCAGTTCAGTTGCTTTTGGTTTTCCTATGATACTGGCTGCTCTGGAGAATAAGAAATTAAGCGTAAGATGGCCCTGGAGAATCTCTGCTGATGCCATTCTGTTTTGATACAGTTGGTGGCAAATAACTATTTGACCAAGTACAGGAACTCTTCAAGGATTCTTGCTCGCATTACTTCTTTCTGAGAGTAAGGAATTGAGATAAAGTGTCCCTGAATAATTGGTGATTCTGCATTGCTGGCCAATGGGAGCAAAATAATTTTAAAATATTGTAAGAAGGAAAAACTGAGTCATCTTTATGCCTTAAGTGTGTGTAAGGTGATACATGGTGTAGTTAAAGCAGAGATCCAGATTCAAATCCATGCTCAGCCATAGAAATCTACTGAGTGACTCTGGACCAGTTACTCTTTATGAGCCTGAGCTGCCTTATAGGGTTGCTATGGTGATAAAATGGAGAAAGAGAGATCCATATAAACTCCTTGAATGTCTGCAGAAAAGATGAGAAATAACAACTAGCACGCCTGTCTTATACCACCCCTTAGGACTGTGTTCTATTTGTTTGTGACCAAGGTTGACCTTATTTTCCACTTCTAAAATTTTGAAGGGCAGGTAAGTGAATTGGTGAAAGCCAAAATTAAAGATATAGGAGTGCTTTCTTCCTCTGTTGTCCTTGTATAAATCAGCATGTCAGGCAAGCTGGACTGGTTTATTTGCTAGGCTTTCTCAATCGAGAAAATTGAACAAAGGGAGATAATTTTACTAAATCAGCCTTTGAGTGAAAGGATTAATTCATTGAGATTAAGTTTTTGACAAGACAAACCCCTGGGCAGGAGTCCTGGACAAGACTTGCAGATAGACAACTATCTGATGCTTTGGGAGAGTAGAGGATATGTAGCTTCTACCTTGCAAAAAACATCGTCTGAGAAAGGCCTTCTATTCTTTTTTCCCTCCTTCCATCTGTGCCTTCATATTTTTTGAAAATCCTTTCTTCAAAGAGAAAAAAACCTGCAGCCCAGAAAGGTACCCCACTTCTTCCATACTTCTCAGCACAAGGTCCACTTTTAAGCACACAAGCCTTCAAGGAATGCTGCCTCTTAAGATTCTCTCAGTTGACCAGGAGAGAAGGTGCCAAGTGGACACTTCTGGATATGTGAGATCTTTTCCAGTGTGTGTTTCTTTTTTGTTCTTTATTGAATGTCTATAGTGGTTGGGGCCTTAACATTGACAGTACCATTTTGTGGGTTAAACTATCCCCTGTCGCAGCAGTTTCAAAGTTGTTGTAAAATGAAAATATAAAATCTACAAGGATAATTAAACTATGGATAGAATCTCACAAATAGAAGCTGTAGTAATTCCAAATGTAATAATGACTTATAGAAAAAAAGATACTTGATTCCAAGAATAATCAATATCACTAACTGGAAAATACAAAAAATTGCCTTTTAGATTCTTTTAAAAATCCAGATTAATGCACACAGAAATTTTATACGTCCATCTAAGCTAATGGTATTCTTTACTGTATTGACTTTCTTCAATGATTGATTTTATTTATATAGCGTTTTTTAATCCATAATTCTTCTGGTAAATTTATGAAAGAAGCTGGACTATTTGAGGACCAGCATTGTGAGTCTTCCAGTGGTCCCACTTCTTTCCAGGTAAATTCAGAAGGTAGATGAAAACCTAGTGCCAACTGCCTAGCAGAGACAGTGCCTATTGCTGCCTGAAGTAGGCTACTCTCTGCTGCAGGACAGGTTTCCCTTTGGTGTATTGAATGTTCTGTAGCTTCTCTCTATTGAAGTGAAAGTATTGTTAATCTGCTGAAGTACATTTCACGATCACGTTCTTATTCTATTCTAAATTTCAGGTGGATCCCACTTACAATAGCCTATGTAATTAATGCAAGAAAATTTCTTGGCTATTTTTCTATAAACAATAGGATATCTTTCCCTTCAACCCCCCCCTCTCCTGCCCAATTTATTGAGCTTTTTGTTTTTGTTTTTTTTAAAAAACCAAGATATTATTGTACTGTAAGCTTTGACTATCAGAACTCCTAGGTTTGATGGGGGGGAGGGGGGATGTGAGGAAGAAACAATAAGATCTATGAAAAAGTAACACTCGATAAAACATACAAGTAAAATAGCTAATTATAATAAAAGCAGCATTACAGTCAACATGTAGAAACCATAGGACAAACATTGAAAAGTGAAATACAGAAGCTTCAGGCCTTTCTGGAAAGGAAGCTTCCAGTTAATCATATATGCATAGGTGAACTTGTATCCATACCTGATTTTCAATATGAAAAATGTGGGTTATAAATTGTATATACAAATTAAATTAATAATAAATTCAGTTGTTTAGCCAGGAGCTATGACCTGTACATAGCATGTCTACACCTATATTTTTAATTTCAAGGACTTGGGTGTAATAATGGATCACAAACTCAACATGTCCCAACAGTATCATGCAGCTGCAGAGAAGGTCAGTGACATCTTGAAGACCATCAAGAGAAGCACAGAGTCCAGATAGTGGGAAGCAATTATCCCACTCTACTCTGCCTTGGTCAGCCCCACTCAAGAGTATATTGCATTCAGTTCTATGCACCCAAGTTTATAAAAAGGCTACCAAGATTTTTACAAAATATATATGGAGAGAAAATAAGTAAAACACACATGGTGAACCCAATTAAAAATATACATAACAAATGAAACCATTAAGCAATCAAATATACTGTCCTCTTGAATCAATATACAGATAGTCCTCAATGTACGACCACAATTGAGCCCAAAATTTCTGTTAAGTGAAACATTTGTTAAGTGAGTTTTGCCCCATTTTACGTCCTTGTCACAGTTGTTAAGTGAATCACTGCACTTGATAAGTTAGTAACACGGTTGTTAAGTGAATCTGCCTTCCCATTTGATTTTGCTTGTCAGAAGGTCATAAAAGGTGATCACATGACCTTGAAGCACAGCAGTGGTCATAAATATGAAGCAGTTACCAAGTACCTGAATTCTGATCCCGTGATCATGGGGATGCTGCAAAGATCATAACTCTGAAACACAAAAGGTCATAAGTCACATTTTTCAGTGCCGTTGTAACTTTGTACAGTCAGTAATGAAGTATTGTAAGTCAAGGACTACCTGCAATTCAAGCAGTAAGAGACAAGAAAGAGCAAAAAAGCTTTAATTTCCAGGCTGTTTGTTGGAATTAAAATAACATGCTGTGTACAAGTTGCCGTCTTGTTGTCCAAATTAAGAATGAAGTCAAATATCTCAAGGTTGTTGTTTTAAGGAATTTTAGAGCCTTAACCATATATAAATACCTATCACACTTTTCAGGAAAAGCAGTCTTATGCAGAGCAATAAAATACAATAAGAAACAGCAACTACATGGGGATTGACTTGTTAAGGGTATTTAGGAAAGTGTATGAAAAGAATTGTGATTCTTTAGGTGGAGTTGAACAAGAATTGTGATTCTATAGGTGGAAATGAACAAAATTTGGGAGGTTCAGTGCTTCCTTTATCCCTTCCTTTTTCCAGCAAAAAACATTCATTTGTTGGCAGGGTGATGTCTCTGCTTTTTAGTATGCTGTCTAGATTTGCCATAGCTTTCCTCCCCAGGAGCAAGCATCTTTTAATTTCTTGGCTGCAGTCCCCATCTGAGGGGATCTTGGAGCCCAGAAAAATAAAATCGGTCACTACCTCCATTTCTTCCCCATCTATTTGCCAGGAATTGAGAGGGCCGGATGCCATGATCTTGGTTTTCTTAATGTTGAATTTCAAGCCAACTTTTGCACTCTCCTTCTTCACCCACATCAAGAGGCTCTTTAGTTCCTCTTCACTTTGTGCCATTAGCGTGGTATCATCTGCATATCCTAGGTTGTTAATATTTTTCTCGGCAATCTTAATTCCAACTTTTGATTCATCTAGCCCTGCCTTTCTCATAATGTGCTTTGCATATAAGTTAAATAGGCAGGGTGACAGAATACAGCCTTGCCGAACTCCTTTTCCAATTTTGAACTAATCAGTGATTCCGTGTCCAGTTCTCACTGTTGCTTCTTGACCCGCATATAGGTTTCTCAAGAGACAAATAAAATGGTCTGATACTCCCATCTCTTTAAGAACTTGCCACAATTTGTTGTGATCCACACAATCAAAGGCTTTTGCATAGTCAATGAAGCAGAAGTAGATGTTTTTCTGGAACTCCCTAGCTTTCTCCATGATCCAGCATATGTTGGCAATTTGATCTCTAGTTCCACTGCCTCTTTGAAATCCTGCCTGTAGTTCTGGAAGTTCTCAATCCACATATTGCTGGAATCTAGCTTGTAGGATTTTAAGCATAACTTTACTTGCATGTGAAATGAGTGCAATGGTGCGATAGTTTGAACATTCTTTGGCATTTCCTTTCTTTGGAATTGGAATGTAAACTGACCTTTTCCAATCATGTGGCCACTGTTGAGTTTTCCAAATTTGCTGGCAAATTGAGTGTAGCACTTTTACTGCATCCTCTTTTAAGATTTTGAATAGCTCAGCTGGA